ATTTAATTTTTAAACGTCATTTCAGATTTACGTTTGTGAATTATACAATATTGCTGCTAATCTCTTACTAAAATGCAATCTAGAGAAAGGAATATTATAATAAAAGTAATAAAAAATTAATGCAAAAAAAAAAATGAAATGGTTTAATACTAAAGCGGTTTTAAGAAATGGTTTAAATTACTAAAAGCCGTTTAATTAATGAATAAAATTCCTGTATGTTTTTTAAAAAATTTAAATTCCTGTATACGTTTTTTACAAAAGTAAGCAATAAAATGAATGGCCTTTAATACTAATTATATAGGTTAATAAATAAAATAACCAAAAAACCGTTTAAATCTATGCAATAAAATCATGTATAGTAAAAATGAATGGTTTAATTACTAATTATATAGGTTTAATGCATAAAATAAACCAATAAAGCCGTTTAAATCTAATATGCAATAAATTCATGTATACGTTTTTGTTTATTAAATAGGTTATAAATTATGTTGCATTTTACGGCATTATTTACATGCTTAATTATTATTAATACTTAATATATATATATATATATATATATATATATTATATATATAATTTATTATTATTTTATACAATGTGGGACAAAATAATTTAGAAGTAAAAAAGATGGAATGGTCAAGATTTGATGTGGAAGGAGATTCAAGCGGTTATAATACAAGGTATTTGAAACTTTCCTTCCACATCAAATTTCTTAGCCAATCCAATTTTATTTTTTAAAATTTAAAATTAACTTATTCCTTCATTATATTATAAATAAATAATAAATTAAAAAAATATTTATATAATTTAATGCTCTTTTTATAGACCTAATTTAATTTCACTTTTCTACCAAAAACTTTTCATTTAACCTCTTCATTTCCTATTCCTCATTTTGCCTTCGTTTCCTATTCCAATTCCCCTATTTTCCTCTGTTTCCTCTTCCTATTCCGCATTACTTCTCTCGGCATTCTCCTCCATTTATTTATTTGGTTCAACTTTTTCTCTTGTCCGAAAGAATCACTAGGGCTTCGCTTGGCTTCCCTCGCTAAAATTGTGAGCTTCGCTCCTCCCTCCCTCTTCTTCTTGTTCTCTTCTTCTATAACAACATTTTTCTTTAATGGGTATACTCCTCCTTGAATCGGAAGTCTTGAGCTCACAGCGACTTAACATATTTTGCGTGAAGATGAGTTTTCAAGTTGTCGATAAATAAGCTTCTTCAATTTTAGATATATATATGTTTTAAGTTTCTGAATTGGTTTTTTTTTTTTTTAATCTTTTCTTAAGTGATAAGTTTCTGAATTTTTCTTAATTTCAATTCTTTTAGGCTTTCTTTTTTAAGTTTGGTGTAAGATTTCTTTATGATATTCATCTAATTTTCTGTGAGAGTATATCCACTTCATGTCATTTTAGAGGTCATTGATCATTTTATTACTTTCCTTTCACGTAGCTTTCCTTCGGTTCGTAAGGTTTCGTTCACAAGCTTTCCATATTCCAACCCTTCATATTCCAAGTTATTTTGTATCAGGCAAAAACAAATTCATTCATAACTTTCTTTTTTTAACCTAATTCAATCTGATTTCAGATTATTCAGGTTATGTGATAAATAAATTTTTATTTTTGCAGTTTTTGTTGAGAGCAAACAAAGCTGTTAGTTTTTTTTTTTTTTAACTCTATTTCAATCTGATTTCAGGTTATGTGATTAACTAATTTTTGTTTGGACAACTTTCGTTGAGTGCAACCAAAGCTTTCAGGTTCATTTTGTTATTATTTCCTCTTTTTGATTTCAGGTTATATGGTAAACATGTTTTTTTTTTCAATATTGTGTAATTTTTCTCATTCAAATAAAAGTTATAAACTCTATCATGTGTCACCTTATTTACACATAAATTAGGTGAAGAATTTTTTTATTAAATCATAAAACTTGATACAATTCAAAACTTATTGTGTCCAAAGCCCCTTCATTTAATGCTACGGCAACGCAAACAACTTTTGTCAAGTGCAACTGAAGCTTTTAGGTTCTTTTTTTTTTCTTTTTATTACCTCTTTTCAATCTTATTTCAGGTTATGCAATAAACAAATTTTTATTTGGACAACTTTTGTTGAATGCAAATAAAATTTTAGATTTCATAAAAGAGTTCAAAACTCTTCTATCCTAGGTATGAATCTATTCAAGTTACACTTACAATCATTATCCTAATATGATAATTGTCATAGAGTTCTCATAGTTTAGCATCTTACTAAGGAGAAATGCATTTACTAGAATTTCTCACATTAACAAGAGGGGAATTATTGTCTAAGAACTGGTTAAAGCTAGGCATAACCAAGGTAAGTTTTTTGATATTCATCTTGCTTATAAATACCAAGGCTTAATATCTTTTAAAGAAATTGAAATAGAAGAAATGAAATTGGAAAATATAGAAGGATTGAATTAAAATTATTTTTCACACACACAAAAAATTAAATTACGAAGTACAATTTATATTATCTCCAATTTCTTCAAAACCAAAACACTCTAAATGGCAGTGCATGAAGCTCTCACCATTAAAGGGTGTGAAAGGTTGATGCGTGCACGCTTATGCATGCATTACAATGAGGTTATTTCCATGTGATCATTTATTAGAGCTGAGATAATAAATAAACATTTGCTTAAAATTCAATTTTTGTGGATAAATTACTTGTTAAAGTGCAAAGGGCCTCCTATTTCAATCCTAAGTACAATGCTTTAGCTTCATGATATTAGCTAATATTTATTAAGCAGTCAAAAACATTGCAAAGGATTGTTTCGACCTCCTTCCTTTGAGTCAAATAAATCCCATCTTTAAGGTTCGCTAAATAAATCCATGCTTGTTTCTTTAAGCTCAATATGAAGGGGTGATATCAATAGGACCTGAAAGCTGCAATAGAAGCACCTCTGCACCCTTGGATACTATTATAGTTCATTGCTAATGAAGATGCTATCATAACTTAATGGATGGTTTTTTTCTTTTATATTTTTAGACATTTTTTTTCAACGCAGATCAATGTTATCCAGGATTCCATGTTTCTTTGATCACTTCTATTTGATTGTATAACTTGATGTTATCCAGGATTCCATGTTTCTTTGATCACTTCTATTTGATTGTATAACTTGCATTCCCTATTTGCAACTCTATTGAAATGAATAAAACGACACATTTCCGCAAGAATTTGAAAAAGTTTAGCTCACAAGTGAAGACCACTTATATCTATATAAATAAAAATCTAAGATATATAGGTACATAATTGCTTTAGTGAATCGATGAATTGAAGAGCTTATACAAGTGGCCGATAATAGTCATAGAGATGTTAACTTGCATTCTCTATTTGCAACTCTATTGAAATGAATAAAACGACACATTTCCGCAAGAATTTGAAAAAGTTTAGCTCACAAGTGAAGACCACTTATATCTATATAAATAAAAATCTGAGATATATAGGTACATAATTGCTTCAGTGAATCGATGAAGAGCTTATACAAGTAGCCGATAATAGTCATAGAGATGTTATAATGTGTAGAACAGGAACTAATTAGTAGTAATCTAACTTGTATTGTTACAATTATTCCTAGCTATAATTTTCTTGTAAATAAACCGATCAAAGGAGGCTAAATGGTCGATAATTTTTTATAAGTGAAAAGGCTTTCCCACTTTTGTAGTAGTTGATTGAGCTTGTTGTTATTCAATGTTCTATTTAATCTGTGTAATAGGTTTTCAAGTATCAGTTAATTATTTTAGTTATGCTTATGTGATATTTTTCTTTTTCCATTAAGAATATGTTTAAAACTTTAAACATCTTTAAAACTCATTAAAATATTATTCTTTAGTTTCATTAGGTACTCAACAATTATCCTTCTATATATATTATTCATGTTTATGAAATACCTTATTTCTGAGTTTTTTTATGAAATTTATCTTTATCTTAGATGAACTCACCTGAAAGATACGATCATATATCTTGGATTGGTTCATCTAAAAAACAAGAGATTGAAAAGAATAAGAAGAAGAATACACAGGAATTTGTAGTAGAGGAGAAGCTCCAGTCGAATATGAAGAACACCAAATTCTACATAGATGAGAGAAATAAACGAGTCCTTACAAGCTTCTGCATTAAAAAAGATTATGTTTGTCTTGAAAGGATAAATAGAAGATTTGTAAATATTTTGGATGGCCTAGAGTTGCACGTAGGCATTTTTAATTCTATGGAATAAAAAGAAATTGTGCAATTTATTTATGATTTGCAAAACAGGGGAAGGAAGAATGAACTTGGAGGTATGTTCAAAATTAATCATTTTTTCTTTTACATTCATTTATAATTTTTTTTTATAAATTTTATTATACTTAAACTATGAGTTCATATTCATATTTATTTGAGTTTTGGAATATTTAATTGTTATTGTTTTCCTTAATTAGTTCTTTGATTAATATGTCTAAAAGTATAACATTTATATTCTTACTCATTTCTTTTGAATTTTATCTAATCTTATCATTTATAATAGTTGATGAAATTTAATATTTTGTTTAGATCATACATATTCTGAACCAAAAAAATGGATGCGTGGCAAAGGAAGAGTTACAATACAATTCGGATGTTGTTATAACTACGCGGTTGTAATTTGAACTTATTTATTTTTATCTTTATGCCGATTTTCTGTCTTGATTGTGTTTGGTTTTGATTCTGAGAGTTTTGATGGAGGTTTGTTGCTTTTGCTGATGTAGAGCTCACTCTATTTTCTGGTGGTTTCAGGTCTGGGAAAGGGAAGGAAGTCCAGAATAGATTTCAGAGTCTGATCCGTAAGTATTGTTTTATACTTTTGATTGTTTGTACAGTCATGGCTTTTCTGTTCTGTCTTTCTTTCTGGTAAAAGCCATGTCTGTACTGTATTTGGTAGATGATGGTTTGAGAAAAAGAAAAGATTAGAATGTTTTGTTCCGCTCTGTTGATGATTCATAGTATTCTCTGTTGTCTGTGTGTCTGTTTGAGTTAAATTATTTGGAAGATTCAGTTTGCCGAACAAATTCCATAACCAGATCCTGGTTAGTTAAAGGTCCAGTTTGTTCGTCCGTGTTCGCGACCCGAGAGCGACGGATCCGTCCCGGGGAATCGGGGTCGGGTCGTGACAGAGAGAGAGAGAGAAAGATGAGAGAGAAGAGAGAGAGAGAGAGAGAGAGAGGAGAGGAAGAGAAGAGAAGAGGAGAGAGAGAGAGAGATTGATTACCTCATCTTTTAATGTTTATCGACGATTCTTTACTTTTCAAGAGCATAAAAAAACCTTTTATGCAAGAAGAAAGTTATATGTGATGTTGTGAGGGAAAAGAATGTTTTATCCATATATATAGGATTTAATCTGTTCGCGAACAATATTAATTTGGAGAAAAAGTTTGGGAAAATTTCTTTATAATTCTTGAAAGTTTAACTAGTCAATCCGGCAGACCAAAGTCAATCACTTCTAGCATTTTATTATAAAAGGCTTTTCAGACTTTTTTTTTATTATTATTTTAACGTTTTGATTTTTCATTATTTCTCATGATGCACAAGACATACGAGGGCATTCTGGAAAACTACAATTTAATAATTTTCTTACTTATACATTAAAAAATTTGTTGCCTAAGGTAATTAATTTTCTATTCAATTAAAATCAGTTGTTTTGCATAATAAACTATGCTCAAAACTAATGAAGGAATTTAAAATTTTTTAAAGGTTGTAATAATGGAAATTATTTCTGTTGTGGTTAAAAATTCACAATGGCAGAGAGAGAAAGTTTACTTCCTATATTATAACGAAATTCATTATAAAAATATTATAAATAAATAAATTTATGTGATTATATAAATTATAAATGACACAATTTTCATGGACGGCCATAATAAAAAATTCTAATATATACACATATGGGCTATCTGTTGGCCTACTTTCATTATATCCGACTCTAAAACATATGGTGTTCTGCATTCATAATAAATCATGAATAGCTAATCTTCGTTTAATTTCTACTACTTTTTTTCGCTTTCTTTCCTAGTCACCGGAAAGAGCTTTTTTTTTATTTTATTTTTGTTTTTTTGGGGGGACCAACCGGAGGCCTGATGCATTTTTATAAAAGAATGTTTTAAAGATCTTTATAAAGGGAACCTTTCATCGTTGCTAATCCTCTACAGGCTATAACAAAAAATCAAAATAAAAATCTAAGAGCTGATGGTCTCCTATACTAAGAATACAAACACCTAACAACAATCTAGGGTTGCAAGTAGGCAACCATCCAAAAATTGGAAAAGAGCAGAAAAAGGAATTCAGCATAGCCTTCATGCAAAAGTTAGTAAAACCTTCTCAAAAAAAAAAAAAAAAAAAACTCGTCCACTAACTTGTAAGAGAAAGTGACTGGGAAAAGGGAACAAAGCACAATAACAACGTGGGAAAAAACAAGTAATGTTTGTACATTGATATAAGTTGTTGCCAAACGAAGTTTAGGTAAAAAAAGTGGAATTACTTCCAACAGAAATAATGAACATCCCCCTTGTTTTTTAGCATTATAAAAAACCTTCATTAAACAACCTTGTACTCACACAATAGAATTGGTCAAATAATTACTGATACAAATGGGTAAAAGTAAGGAAATCACATGAACACATAACCAAATAGATCAGTCATCATAGCCCGAGCTATCTCAAAGGCATTAACAATACTGCAAATAAAAGAAGTCCCTAAAAAATACAAGCATAAAATGAAGCTGCCATATGCCGAGTTTCTAATATTTTTTTTAGACCCAACGCAGATACGTGATATCAAGTTCAACCATAACTCTTATAATAGAGGGATTCGAAAGCCAATAATAGTAGCATTATTGATTTGTAAGATCAACTAAACAAACTAAACAAGATTAAAAAGAATTATGTTGGAAAAAAATGAGGTAGAAGTTTTGAAAACAGACCCAAATCGGGACAATAAATGATAAACTGAAATATCAAACAAGGAAGACCATTAATTTTAGTTTCATTGAAAGCCAATTTCACTCCGAAGTAAGATCTATGCCTAAAAACTCAACAATAGTCCATATCTTGTTCTAGCTTGATGTAATATAACAATAAATCCATAATAGTAATAAAAAAAATTCTTAGAAAGCTTGAGGTTAAAAAAGAATTTGTTGAATCCAAATCAAGCTTAGCTATAATGCAAAGTATATTTACGAAACTTAGGCAAAAACTGGTGAGAGAGGCAAAGCCACATTCTCCTCTTTCGAAACCCACAAAGACATTTCATCCATAATGACTAGTGGGCTGAGATCATTGAAAACCCATATGAAGAGCAGAAGCATAAATAACATCTTTAAAAGATCGAGATTTTAGAACCACCATTTAAGAAACCTAGGATAAAAAATGCACACATCTGTTGCCAAAACTGATAGGGGGAACCACCTAGAGAAGCAGCCATCGGAAAATCACAAACAAAGTTAAGGGCAAGATAAAAATAAATAAAAACACAATAAAAAAAAAGGAAAAAATAAAAGGTTAATGAAAATAAAATCCATAAAGAAAAAATAGAATGCTTACCTGACAATCGCACAAAGAAGATGACACCATCACACAAAGAAACCCAAGAGGAGAGTGCGAGGGAAACCCTGGTAGAGCTCTCTAGAAGAAAAAAAGTTTTGGGAGGATGTACCTTAGTGTATGCTTTTTTTTTTATGATATTTTTCTTTGTTACAAGACTAGAGAGGAGTGTTTTAGAAAAAGTGAATTAAAAGAGGGTCAACCTTAGAGTCTAAAGGTTTATTTATGTAAATCTAAATTGAAACATGTATGTAATTTTAGGTAGTTAATAAAAGATATAGTAGTGAATCATGACTTTGGTGATTCTTTGTTATTGAAAAAGGGTGCACATTTTTAGATATTCTCGAGTCTATTTTTCAATGCTATGGTGAAATGGATGAGGACATTATTAGTAGAATTCAAGTTGCGATGGTTGTAGTAAGAGGAATGGCAGGCATCTATTATTTGATTAGAAAAGTATTAATCAAATTAAGGAAAAATTTTAAGAAGGCGATGCAAGATCTGCAATTGTTTTATAGGCAAGAATGATTTGGGCATTAAAAGGAAGCCACAAAAATTAGATTAAGGGTTATTGAGATAAGATGCTCAAGTCGATGAGTGGACTTTACTCTAGAGGCAGGATGTTGACCTCGATTTGCCCAAAACCTTGGTCAAAAGGGTTGACTTGGTCAATTGACCAAGTCAGACCCCAAGACCCTCTCCAATAGGCTTGCGGGTCGAGTCGAGTCTTTCAAGCCGAGCTTGGACCCTGAGGTCAAACCCGGTTGACTAAGCTCAACTAGGGTTGACCAATTTGACCCATTAAGACCTTTTTAGAGCCTAAATCAAAATCAATCTCTTTTTGGCTCAAACCCCATACCATTAGACCTATTTGACTGATTGACCAAGTCAAAACACCTGACTTGGTCAATCCAAAGTCATAAATGGGCAAATCGAACCCATTAAAACCCATTTAAATCCTATTAAGAGCTCTGTATTTAATCCTAATCCAAGGGGAAACGTTTTGGAATTCAAAACCCACGGCCAAAAGCTCTATTTTACCCTCCCTAATTGCCCTTAAGATTCGATCCAAGCCATTAGGTGATAGGGTTGGCGATGTTTAAATAGCCAAAATTAGGTCAAAATTAGGGCTTTTTTTTTCTTTGCTCGTGCTCTTAGGCCTCCTCTTGCTCTAAGATTTCTTGTTGAGGATTCCTAGAGACTTCCACCGTCATCCCCAATTCGAATCCGGCCGCCCCAAAGCCGCCGGCGCAAGTTCTCCGGCGACCCGAGAACGGTGGAACTTCTAAGTGAGTTTTCCCCGTTGATCCAGACGTCGAGAGCTCGTTGGTTTCTTCTTACAACTAGGAGGCGTGGACAGCTTACAAGTTGCAACAAGCCAGAGATCGTCTCGATTTCCATCGAAGTATTTTTGGTTAAAAATCCCCAAAACCCTAGTTAGCGCAACTTTAGGGTTAAATACGTCTGCATAGTATGTTTTAATCTTAAAAGAATAGCCCCATATTTGTTTCATGTATAGATTGCATGCTTAAAATTTCATCAAATTTCGTCCATTCGATCGAGAACGAGCCAAAAAACATTTCTGTCCTTCAGCTTCGCCCTAGCATTGATCCGGACTGTTATTCTTTGATCAACGGTCATTGATCTGAGGATCCCGCGTCTTCAACTTGACCCGCGTGATTCGATCCCGCGGATTTCCGCGGGGCGGCCGAACGTGATCGCTGACCCGTCGATCTCGACCGTGGAGATCGGACGGCGTGATCCTACGGTCCGACGTGTTTAAGTGACATCCGTCACTTGACCGCCGCCGCAAACATCGGACAATAATTGGCGACGGCGCCAATCATTTTGCCCGAACCGCAGGGATCCAATCGGACCGCCCACGTAGCCCTAGCCGCGGATTAAGGTTTTTAATTATTTTTAAGTTGTATTTTAATTGATTTTAGAACTTTAAAAATGCGCAGAAAATTGTTTTTCGCGCCGATTTTGACTTGCAAATATGCTCGTGTTGTTCGTATTTTAATTCTCTACCACTATAAATTTTTTTTTTATAGTAAAAATAAG